AATGGGAATTGGGGAATGTGGGAATTGGGGAATGTGGGATTTGGGGGACGTGGGAATTGGGGAATGTTGGAATTGGAAAATGTGGGAATTGGGGAATGTGGGAATTGGGAATATAGAAATTGGTAATATATGAATTTAGGAATTTGGAAAATTGGGAAACTGAGAAATAAAAAGAAATTCCAAAATCCTTCCATAAACCACTTAAATGCCCCCATAAACCAAACCCAGACTCGATTAAAGAGCAACTATGTAAAAAAAGAACGACAGCACTTAATTTACTGTAAGTCACCGTTAAATTGCTCAAATGAATGAAATAAAATAATTGCAGTAATTTTGCACCTAAAAGGAATAAGAAATTCGATGGAAAATAGTATACTGTCAACGCGTGCTCGAGCAGCAGACGTAATAGATGGCCAAGACTATCGAGTACGACTCTAATTGGACAAGATCGAGGCAAGATCGAGCATACTATCACGCTAATTATCGATCAAAGCGAAGTGTCCGGGCGGGCAGCATTGACTAAGGAAGAGGACCGACTAATTGGACGTAACATGGGACATGATCTTGTGTATGTAGTCTGTGAAAACGTCTCTCTATCAAGCGAGAATACTTATGCAGACACTGCGTTCACTGTGAGGGGAAGAAGTAATCTACGAGAGTATCGTTCAGAGTCTCTTCTACTTTTGGTGTTGTGATGACAGTTGCAACTATTTTTTAATTAATTTTAGTTCTCACGCTGCGTAGAGTACTATTAAACAATAAATTTCCAAATTTTCAATTTCCTAAATTCCCAATTTTCCAAATTCCCAAATTCATATATTACCAATTTCCACATTTCCCAATTCCCACATTCCCGAATTCCTACATTCCCCAATTCCCACATTTCCCAATTCCCACATTCACCAATTCCCACATTCCCCAATTCCCATATTCCCCAATTCCCACATTCTCCAATTCCCGTATTCCCCAGTTCCCACATTCCCCAATTGCCACATTTCCCAATTCCCACATTCATCAATTCCCACATTCTCCTATTCTCACATTCTCCAATTCCCACATTCTCCAATTCCCATATTCCCAAATTCCTACATCCGCAATTCCCACATTCCTCAATTCCCACATTCTCCAATTCCCACATTCCTCAAATCCCAAAAATCCCAAATTCCCAGGACATTCTCCAGGTCCCCAAATTTCACAAATTTCCACTCTAGGTACAGAGATAAATTAAACTTCACCTTCTACCTTAAACTTGCAATATGGTCAGTCATTCCCAGATAAAATCAGAGGAATCATATATCACTGTACAGTCACATAACCTTGATTTCGCCATATATGTTATGAAATCCCGAGAGATCACTAATTAAAAAGACTACATTCGGAATTATCTCTTCAAAAATATTCAAAGTACAGAAATTCACAAGTACCCCAAATAATTCCCCAAAAAATTTATTCACTAGTACCTCCAAAAAGGATAAGAGATATTTGTTATTATATTACATAAGAAAGTTCCTCGACAACATACCTCAAGATCATCGTCAATAAAATCAGTACCCCTTGATATTTTCCCACAAATCAGATCTCCATCACAAGGTCACGTAGATGCCCTCAGATCGATAGATCGATTCCATGTGCGTACGAGGAAGCGAATCTCGCGTTTTAGAGGTCAGTCACTCGAGTACTCGACCGAGAGCTGTTCGAGGATACTCTTCAGGTACACCCTGCAGAGTGTCAGAGCGGCGTGGCGGGCAGTCTCGGATACCGGGAACCGTGCAACGCAAGAAGCCGACTCTACCTAATACAGAAAACCGTAAGGTCGTTCTACCTACGGCCCTGCCCCGACGAAGGTTCGGCATTTCTTGCCAGATGCCACCTGAGGATCTTCAGGGAAGGTCGGACTCAGGTTTCGCTCGGTTCCGAACGCGCGATTAATTGACGTCCTTTAATGAGAGCCCGGCAAATAATTGGGCCGTGATATACGCGAATCATAATTGAGACCATTGCGGGATTGGCCTTTTCCGTTCGATTGGTCATCGATTTTAATTAGCCGGGTCGAGGATCACTGACGAACCTGAATTACTCAGTTCGGTTCGCTGAGTTACGCTATATTTAGAGTACCAATTGTGTAACTGGGTATTATAGTTACGTCTGATGCAATGTTTTTATATAAAATATTGATAGTCTTTTGATTCTTGTTAAGATGTGAAGGGGATGCATTTAGTTACTTTTTTTTAAATTTTGAGCTTTTGATGTTGATTTAAGGAGAGCATTATCATGGCGGACAGATCATTCAGTTGTCTTTATGTAGTTGAGAAGATGATTTTGTGTTGCTTCATTTAATTTTGTATAGTAAATTGTTTGTTGTATAATGTTGCTCAATAATATTAATATAGTTAGAGGACACTATTATGTATAATACAAGTTAGAGGACACTATTATGTATAATACAAGTTATGTATAATAGTTGTATAATAATTATGTATGATTATTACGATTGCTTTGATAATCTGATTATGTGACGCTTTACAATATGGAGTCACTCATGACGTATATTGCAAATGTAACAAACTTTAATCATATTTGTACAAACAGTTTTGAGTTCAATACCGATCATAATCTGAATAATTGAAGATTGCTAAATACAAAAATACCTAGTACTTTATTTATTTATTTTAACATTTCAGTAATAATTATTTAGTTCTGACCTGACCGTCTTACTTTATAGGTTATGTAGCTACTTTATTATTGATGTACAAAACCATTGCTCATTTTTAATTTATAAAAATATAATAATGTCTTTGTTAATTTATACAATTGTTTATTTATACAGTTCTATATAGTATTCATGAACAATATAAATATTTATGATACATTTTGTTTTAAACATTTATGATATAATTTTTATGATACATTTTTTTTTAAACATTTATGATACAATTTTTATGAAGCATGATTTTGCTCAATATTTATGAAATTAAGGTAGTGGTTACAGTACCTGTGTTGTGTAACTGACTCTTGATGGATCATCGATTGAAGCATGGTAGAAGGTTTTCTCGGTTTACTGGTATCGACATATCCATGTGCCCAGCAACGTTCACAAGCTAAGGGGGTAGGAAGCGAAGGACAACTTCCGTTTAAGGGTTAAGCGAGACCGATACGGCTAACGGGTTCATTCCATTCGTAAAATCGAGAAAGAAAAATGCAACCAGTACTCGATGAGAATTCTTTACAATGACACCTGCTCGAACCTTGCTTTTTAGTGTAATATGGAACTGACACTTTGAAGAATTATTTTAGTTAGATTTTTATTTTATCTATCATTATGACAATTCTTTCTATATTTTTTATTATATTGCTTTTTTACTATTATGTTGTTTTTATTATATTCAACTGCTTTTATGTATTTTGCTAAATTTTCAGTGCATTAAATTTGTTCTAGTATTATTACAGTTGGACTTGTAAATTACTTTTAATAAATTTTTATCAATTTTGCTTTTTTTTATTTTTCAATCTATTTTTCTCTGAAAAGATAAAAATTAAGTAAACTTTATACATACACATTTTATATAAATATACAACTGTCCAGATGTATTATATTAATTACAATTATTATTATAGTAATTGTTAATTATAATTGTTTACTAATGATATAAATTAGTGTTATATGCAATTGTTCATAATTACACAATCACACGTATAATTTTAATTAAATAAAAATTGTAAGCTGAAATATTTTGTAATACATTTATGAGACATTTTTAATTTCTTTATTACCGGTCTCCTTTGCCATCGGAATTTAATTCTGATATTAAACGAGCGACTCCAGAGGATGACGGCATTCGTTATTCCTTGAAATAGTTAGCCTCCTCCGTAGAAATCTGTGCATTCCTACACTAATCGAGCGTAACCGTATGTTGGGAATATTTAGATAGCCACTTGTCATAGTCTTTTTCTTCTGCATGCGTGTTTCCCGGTTCGTGTTAGACAGCTGATTTGTTATTACGTTCATGACTGTAGAATTGTAATTACTTTGTGAATGTAATACAAAGTTTATAATAAAACAATTCTATACAATTGATTTGAAGCACTGTTACTTATTGCGAAATAATATTATTGATTAATAATTACTTATTAATTAGCATTAAAATAGTACTTAACCTCTTCAGAGATGATTTTAAGGTTATGTTAGTTAAAATCATACTTTACTTATTTTTAATCAATAGCAATTAACTAAACAAGCTTCGAAATTATATTAATAATGTAATTATTAATGCTTCATATTAATAATGTACAAAAAAAGATATCCAATTTGTTGTTAAATTATTAAATTTCAAATTAAAAATTGTAAGTGAATAACATAATGAATTTCTAATGAATGTTAAAATGAACATACACACATGTTACCATCACAAATTAACACAATAAGATATATTAACTAAATATATTAACCTTGATACGAAAATTGCACATAATATATTACGTGCATGTAATATATTAACCTTGATACTAAAATTACAACTCGAGAATTATTAAACGATTCTATTCAGTGTAGACTCTCGTTGTAATGAAAATCATAAATAAACGGAATGTATTGTACTTTTATCCGAACATTAATCATCGCCGGATAGAGTAATCGCTGTGACTATGAGTGATGGAGAATGGTTTCCATTTACAGGGAACAATCATGTCAGAAATCCAAGTGTACCGAGTGGCTTGAGTCAAATCGATAATAAAACTCTGCAATGGTTTGGGGCTACGGTTTCGGCGTCGCAGACGGATGGTGGACCAATAATGGTGAGTAAATTTTCTACTTTTTAATTATTTAAAAGTTAAAACTTCTAATCCCCATATTCCTCAAATCCCCATATTCCTCAATTCTCACTCTCCCCAATTCCCAAATTTCTCAATTTCCACATTCCCCAAATCCCCATATTCCCCAAATCCCCATATTCCCCGAATCCCCATATTTCCCAAGTCCCCATATTCCCCAAATTCCCATATTCCCCAATTCTCACTCTCCCCAATTCCCAAATTTCTCAATTTCCACATTCCCCAAATCCCCGTATTCCCCAAATCCCCATATTCCCCAAATCCCCATATTCCCCAATTCTCACTCTCCCCAATTCCCCCATATTCCCCAAATCCCCATATTCCCCGAATCCCCATATTCCCCAAATTCCCATATTCCCCAAATCTCCATATTCCCCAAATCCCCATATTCCCCAATTCCCAAATTTCTCAATTTCCACATTCCCCAAATCCCCGTATTCCCCAAATCCCCATATTCCCCAAATCCCCATATTCTCCAAATCCCCATTTTTAGGCCACAACTTCAAATGAGAAATTGAAAACTCAATCTAAACTATTTCATTAAGATAAAAAGTCATAATTTTCAATTTCCTCAAGTTACTGACTTCTTCATGAAATAAAAGCATTTACACATAGAATATTATGTTTAATTACATTTGAGAAATGTCGTAAATCTATTTGATAATTTCCCATAATTTCATTATGTGTTTGTATAAAACAAAAGAGATATACGGTGCAATAAAAGGGGTAGTTGAAAACTGTACAAAGGTTATTACAGGCGATTCTTTCAAAGCTCTGTTTCTGGGGATTTTACGAAGGCAGTTACGAATAGATGAAGGGGTCATGTGAGAAATTACAGGCGTATGTTCCCAGAAGAGCGCACCTTCTATTTCAGGAATCGAAAACAAACCAATTCTCGTTTCGTTCTATGTTTCCGTTGCGACGTCCAAACGTCTTGCCATTATATTAGACCGCATGTAGCTACTCTTTCTATTACTAACCTGTAACCTTGCTCTGTTACAATTACATTAATGTGTCTTCATCCAACAATTATATTAACATATCTTCATACAACAATTACATTAATATACCTTCATCTAACAATTAATGACAAGCTTTCTTATAAAGAAAAATATTTTTATAAATTCTCTTAAACCCATCACTACATTTACAAAACTCGTCAAAATGATTTTAGTCTTCTTACTGTTAATCACTAAAATTTAAAAACTTTTGAGAAAATCTATGTTAACCTTCGTTAAGATAAAAAGTCATTCTCCAAACATTTTATGTATCATTCATTATTTATGTACTTTTATAATTTAGTTTCAATTTAAACACAAGTCTGTAAATGTAGAATTAAATCATTTTTTTATTTTATAGAAAAATACATTTTTAAGCTTGTATTTTAATATAAGCACAATTTAGTGCACTTTTACAAATAGAATTTTAAAAAATGTTATTATACGACAATTAAAAAATTTATAAATTTAAAATCAATAAATAAATACTTTTAAAATTGTAGTCTATTTAGTATATAAAATTCTGGTACATGTCTCAAAGACATAAATCTCCAATACTTCACTGATATTCGAATTTTCCTTCCAATTTCGCACAAATGCCAAGAAGCAGGCTGTCCATCACAAACACCGCAATCATGCATCACGAGTGTGGTCCGTATATCAATCTAGTGCGAAGATCTTTGCCGTTTCCTAAGGGTCGGTCCCTCTTTTCCTTCAGGATGCGGCTTCTATGATGTACAGCCGCCCTTATCTTTCTGTGCGTTGCACTTGCTCGGATCTATCCTGCACGCACGTGCGGATGCACATCACGCACGGTTGCGGTGTGTCGGCTGGGAAAATTGAACAAACGAGAAAGGGACGAGCCGCACAGACCACTAACTGCCATTTTTCGTCCAACGCTGACTTGACTTCCAAAAAAAAACCTTTTATCATTGTATAATTCGATTTGGTTGCATTATTTGGTTTTGTGGGTGAAGGGTTTTGTGTTCTTTATTGGGTTGTGCCTTTTGAGATTTTTAGGTTGCAAATTTATGTGTAGGAGAATTTTAAAATCTGTAAACTTTTCAAGGTTTCATATTTTGTAATTTTGTAATTTTATAATTTTCGAATTCCTCAAGGTTTCAACTTTCAACCCCCCAAATTCCAAGGTTCCCAAATTCCAAGATTCCCAAATTCCAAGATTCCTAAATTCCAAAGTTCCCAAATTCCAAGATTCCCAAATTCCAAAATTTCCAAATTCGAAGATTCCCAAATTCCAAAATTTCCAAATTCCAAGATTCCCAAATTCCAAAATTCCCAAATTCCAAGATTCCCAAATTCCAAGATTCCCAAATTCCAAGATTCCTAAATTCCAAAGTTCCCAAATTCCAAGATTCCCAAATTCCAAGATTCCTAAATTCCAAAGTTCCCAAATTCCAAGATTCCCAAATTCCAAGATTCCTAAATTCCAAAGTTCCCAAATTCCAAGATTCCCAAATTCCAAGATTCCTAAATTCCAAAGTTCCCAAATTCCAAGATTCCCAAATTCCAAGATTCCTAAATTCCAAAGTTCCCAAATTCCAAGATTCCCAAATTCCAAAATTCCCAAATTCCAAGATTCCCAAATTCCAAGATTCCTAAATTCCAAAATTCCAAAATTCCAAAATTTCCAAATTCCAAGATTCCCAAATTCCAAAATTTCCAAATTTCAAGATTCCCAAATTCCCAAATTCCCAAATTCCCAAATTTCCAAATTCCCAAATTCCAATATTCCCAAATCCCCATATTCCCCAAATCCCCATATTCTCCAAATCCCCATATTCCCCAAATTCCCATATTCCCCAAATTCCCATATTCCCCAAATTCCAATATTCCAAAATTTCCAAATTCCAAGATTCCCAAATTCCAAGATTCCCAAATTCCAATATTCCCAAATCCCCATATTCCCCAAATCCCCTATTCCCAAATCCCAATATTCCCAAATCCCAATATTCCCAAATCCCAATATTCCCAAATCCCAATATTCCCAAATCCCAATATTCCCAAATCCCAATATTCCCAAATCCCAATATTCCCAAATCCCAATATTCCCAAATCCCAATATTCCCAAATCCCAATACCCAAATTCCCATATACCCCAAATTCCCATATTCCCCAAATTCCCATATTCCCCAAATTCCAAAATTCCCTAAATCCCCATATTCTCCAAATCCTCAGATCTCCATATTCCTAGATTCCTACATCCCCAAATCTTCATATCCCTAGCCTTCAAAATCCAATACCCTATACCGAAAATACAAAATAATCTTAGTTTCAAAAAATCGAGTAGTACAATATAATTTTACTTGGTAAGAGTTCCTGTTTGAAAATCGACGTCTCATAGCAAGATATAATGAAGAAATTGGGCGGAAATGCCGAAAGAGAAATTGATCGAGAATTAAATCGCACTGGGCTCGGTTTAATTAATGATCCTGTCCACGGGTTTCTCGGAGGGTTGATCCTTGTCTTTCGGCACACATCAAACTTCCACGTAGACGTCACCTGTACGTGACGGGAATAACTTCTTTCCGCCATATCGTTTTAGCACCATAGACGATGTGTCGAAGCATTCGGCAGGATTACACATGACGCTCACGTAACAACCGCCGCTCGTAAAAGGAGATAGAACGAAGCTTCTACTCGGTCACACTTTTAATTAACAAAAACTTGAATCTTTGGTAAAGAAATTTACCAAAATTATTACTGTTGCAACTTTATATCGCTAGCAAAATTACTGGAAATAGTACTTCTTTCTTTCTTTTAGAAAATTTATACCAAAATGTCTTCTGTTGTTTTTTTAATTTGTTTTTAATTTGAGGTACTTCCTTTGTGGATTATAATGGAGAATGTTTAAATATATTTTATATTTTGAAGAGTTTTAGAAAATTTTTGTTTGTATATAACAAATATTTTAATAGTTCATTATTTGTAGTTTAAAAACAAATATAAAATTGACAGGAAAGAATTGTTAATTAAATGCACATGTACGTGTATAAAATTCATAAATTTATAACACAGATAATCTTGTCTTTAACAAATAATTTTATCTGTTAATTTAAAAGACATTATTTTATAAATAATATTACAAGGCAAATGATTTTACGTAATACACATAATTATATTTACATATAACTTCATAAAATAAACAGTTAAGTTAAACAATATTCCCGCATGCAATTACATCGTCACGATAGAAACCTACATATTTAGAAACATATCTGCAATTTCCAAATCGCAGCTGTGTACAGCAGAGAAAGCGAGAAAGACCCAGAATGGAAAAAGCATGGAACGTGTACTCGCATTCTGGAGTAAGTAGATAATTCCCGCATAATGTCGCAGCCATGGGGGATGAGAATGCAGTGGCGACATTTCGCTATGCGAAAATTACGCCAACACGGGAATGATAATCGTTGCTAATACTTCTCTCAGCTTTGGAAAACGACCTTTCGTTTATAGAAATCGCACGGATTCCAAATTCGAGGAATCGATTCGCTGCGTTTAACTGTCGCGCAATTTACGAGGTGTCATTGTGCTACAACGACTATATTGTTCGGTGAAAGTCGAGTCATGGGACATTTTTTATTCTTAGGGAAATTGTATTTGTGGAATTTGGGGAATCTAGGGATTCGGGAAATTTAGGGATTTCGGGGATCTTGGAATTTGGGAATTTTGGATTTTGGGAATCTTGGAATTTGGGAATTTTGGAATTTGGGAATCTTGGAATTGGGGAATTTTGGAATTTGGGAATCTTGGAATTGGGAATCTTGGGAGTTGGCGTGTGTGGGAATTGGGCTCCTTGGAAATTGGGGTGCTTGGAATTTTTGGGTGCTTGGAATTTGGGAGCTTGGAATTTGGGTGCTTGGGAATTGGGGTCCTTGGAAATTCGGGTGCTTGGAATTTGGGAGTTTGGGAGTTGGGAAATTTTGGAATTGGGGAATCTTGGAATTT